AGCAAATGCTAAGATATCGAAGCTAACCGGTCTGTGCGCGTGGCTGGTTCAACGAGTGAGGTTCATTTTAACATAGAGCTCTATGGAGACTGACTCACCGCAGGAGACAGACTCTAGTGGACACTGGAGGAACTGCAGGGTCTTTATTTCTCTGGATGTTGCTCCTTGTTTTTTTTCTCATAAATAATAAAACAGTTTCATATTTTCTCCGTTGAAAGAGGACAAAGTCTCCTTTATTTAAACCCTGAGATTTAACGTTCAGCTCTTATTGTTGGTAAATTTACACATGGCGGCTGCAAACCGTTCTGTGACCATGAGTGGAAAACTAAACATGTCCACTTCAGCTGAAGCCTGAATGTGTTCCAAACTGGAGTCAAAAAGGTCTTTTGTACGCCGGCAGAGCGTAATGCCTCAGTTATGTGTCCACAGCCACGAGCATGCAGACTTCACAAGTGGAAGATTTGTTCCGTTTTCACGAGCCTGAATGGAAAGAACAAAATAAGGGGATGTACATCACAGCGGCGGATGATGCCATCTCCTCTGTCATGCTTCAGTTCTCACCCTGGTGAACAACACATGTAGAGCTGTAAGTGAGAAACATCAGTCAGCCGTGTACACACACACACACTCACACACTCCCACAGACGGTTGTGTAATGAAAAGCCAACAGAGTGATCAGAGTGGTTCATATGGAAGCAGGCTGACTCTGCTTTTAAGAACCAAAAACCAAAAAGAAGTTTCTAAAGGAAGTCAGTGTGTAGTGAGTTGAGGGTTTTTTGAATGGGTGTGTATGTGACTTCCTGTTCTTCTGCAGCCAGCCTCTAGTGGACACTCGAGACTACAGGATTTATTTTCTCGTATGGTATCGTCCTGATGTTTTTAACTGGGGTGGCCCGCCTGGGCTCTGACTTATGGTGGGGGGGGGGGGGCATTCGGTTTGTGGGCACATGCACGTAAATTAATGTAAGGTTTTTAACCCTTTCCATCCCCATTATTATCTGAACTTCTAAATTACACAATTTGGTAAATCGTCCCGCCTCTGATTAGGCAAATAGCTAATCATAGATTTGGATTTTGGGGTGACCAATCAGATTTCAAGGGTGACCCGTGTCACCCCTCTGGCCTCGCTCCTGGGTATTTTATCATTTAATATCCAACTGGATTCTATTCTATTACCTCTTCTTATTCTATAGAACTGTCTTTATCTTTCAGTAACAGTTTGCTGGATACAAAGAACACAGAAACACTCTGAGACTCGCTCACTACACAGAGGAGTAGTCTCTCTCCCTCCCTCTTTCTCTCTCTCTCTCTCTCTCTCCCCCTCCCCCTCTCTCTCTCTATTTCTCCCTCTCTCTCTCTCTTCTCATTAGTTCTGTAAATCTGTTGAAACTTGTATGTCGTCCTCTTGAAGCAGGGGGAGAGGAGATGAAATGGTGCGATGGTGCTGCATGGTCGTTCAACCTCATTACACCTGAGGGAGCGCTTCAAACTCACCTGGTGAAAACTGAACAGAGGTTAGGGTCCTGACTGAAGGAAGAAAGATGATTTTTATTTGTTTTAGATCAAATAGATTGAACTTTGAACTTGTATGTGAGACAGTCCCTCTGTGAAGCTCATGTTAAACTTTAATGTGAACAACGTGCTCACGCTCTGAAAACGTCTGCACATCGACTTGTTTCTTACACGACTTGTTGAAGTTACAGAGAGTTCTCCTTCTTCAGGGGAAATAAGAGCGAACAATCCCTCAAATTTTGCGAAACAAAAACCCTGAGAAGAATGTGAGAGGCAAGCAGCTCGGTGGCGTTTGCAGTAAATGGCGTCAAATCCGGAAATTGGATCCACATGGGGGGATGTGTTCAACAGATGGGTTGTTTGAGGTCAGGGCATTTCTTGTTTTTATCACTGCAGCTTCAGGAACTCACATTTAACAGCCTCAGCCTCGTGTTCAATAAGGATGGAAAACTTGGGGAGGATTTTAATTTGCTTAATTTGAATTTTGCAGCTTTTTTAAAACAACCTTCCTCAAAGTCGACGCTCAGCTGCATGTGACACCCAGCGGCGTTTAGGTACAGTGATGCGTTTTGGCTTGTTATAATAAAGTTAAAGATTCAGACGAGTTCAGTTCAACAGTTTGTGTTGCTTCTTGATTTGTGACTCGTAAAAACATCATGAGAGTCTGTTTGAGCTGAATATTATTTTGCATAAAAACTGAATATAGAAATGAACCCACAGATTTCAGTCCGTGCTCCAGAACCTGCTCGGCTGGAAAGAGTCCAAACATAACATGTGTTTGGCGCTAACCTTCATATTTACACATTTAGGAGAGTTAAACTTTGTGTTGTTCCTGATCACTTTTCTCTGTTTGGAGTTTTTCTTTCCGTCCTCTTAACGACTGAATCCTCCTAACAGCTCCGAGGATTCAGTCATAAAACAGTTCATGAAAATCAGATCTTGGAGCACTTAGCTGAGCTATGGCTGCTCCTGGGTCAAAGGTCACTTTCACAGAGCTGTGCGCCGATATATCACGGTGCGAGTGCTTTCTGCTCTTGTGCTGCTAAAACCATGAGCCGCTTAAAGGACGAATCTTTGTTTTGGATTTTGAAAATTTCCAAAAATCTGAGAATCGAAAAAGACCAAGTACTTTGAGTTTTCTGTTCATCACAAGACGTAGTGTGTGTGTGTGTGTGTGTGTGTGTGTGTGTGTGTGTGTGTGTGTGTGTGTGTGTGTGTGTGTGTGTGTGTGTGTGTGTGTGTGTGTGTGGTGTGTGTGTGTGTGTGTGTGTGTGTGTGTGTGTGTGTGTGTGTGTGTGTGTGTGTGTGTGTGTGTGTGTGTGTGTGTGTGTGTGTGTGTGTGTGTGGAGGGGGTGCTGAGCAGGTCGGTGACGGCACCACCAGGCCAGGCAGAGATAAGAGCAGAGAGCAGAGATAAAGTTTATGAAGCTGCAGCAGAAACATTCATCCATCCATCAGCATCCGCCCCTCCCCTAAAACCAAAACAACAACAACAAAGTAAACACAAACAATCAACATCAATCAAGTCAGAACTTTTATTTAAAGTTTCACTGCAACAGAACATTTTCTAAAAATCTGAAAGTATTTTTATTGAGTCGGTGAAGCTGAGTTTAATTTTATAAGCTTTTAAAACACAACAAACAAACAAACAAAGTCACCTGAGCACAGAGAACACAACAGCTGTTTATGATGCAGTTTGTTTCTATCTAAAGAGAAATACATCATATTCATCTCTACAAAGACAGAACTTGACATATCTGTAAACTCTGTTAAATCTGGATTCTGTTGACTTTGATTTCCTGAGATTTTCACCTCCATCTCTTCGTCTCTTCATCCCTCCATCTCTCTGGAGTCTCAACCTGCTGTTCACTCACTTAATATTCATTCTATTAAATTATGCACCGACAGACGCTTTGTTGCTTCCTCCTCTGCTGCTGCTGTCTCCATCATTTCTATATCAAACTTTCTCTTCAGTCAAACACTGGTGTTCAGGGTTTGGATCCAGGGTGTTCCCCCTCTCATCCTCCTCTTCCTCTTAAATTTGGCTCCTCAGCTGTTCTTGGGCTCTGGAGGCGGCCTCCTCCCTTTGTCTCGGCCTCTGGGCTAGCTGGCTAAGCTAGTCGGCCCCTGCATCACTTTCTGGGTAACTTTAGACTAGTCCACTCCTGCTCCGAGGCTCCGGATCTCCGGCTGACCCGCGGGGCTGAGGGGGCAGACTCCGGGAAGAGGAGGCCGGCGCACAGTGAGTGCGTGGAGGGGAGAATAAATAAGAAGATAGTGGTGGTTGTAGTAGTGGAGGTGGTGATGGTGCAGGCTGGTACGGGAGGTCGGGGGATCCTGCTTTGATTTATGTGTTTGGGAGAAGCTGTCACGAGCAGAAACAGGAGCAGCGCGCGGACTCTTGTTTTATTCTAACGCGTTAATAATAAAGAAGAGGCGCCATGAAACAGCACGGAGAGCGCGGACTACATCCGGGATATTTATTTAATATGGTTATTAATAAATCCACCTTTAAGCCGCGCGTGCTGAGCAGGATGGATGTGTATCTGTTACCGGCTGGATGAGTCCGGGATTACTACCGGACACTCACACCGAGTGTAGCCCGGGATGAGGGCTCTCTCTCGGGCTGCTCTGGACTTCTTTATGGACCCGGATGGAAAACAGCTGTTTGCATTTTCTCTGTTTGCTTCTATTTATTTTGCTTCACCACATTCCTTACTTCTTTAAACTTAAGTCTCCTCGTTATTTAAATATTAATTTGTTCAGTTTTAATTCAGGACGTTTTTCTGTTGTGAGCTTGAGGGCTGTGAATCAAGTTTTTAAAGAATAAAGAGAAGCATAAAAACAGTTTGATTTAAATTAATCTGTTTTTATTTTAGCTTCTTTTTTGGTCCCAGCTTTTTGTTCTTCGTTAAATGAATCCACTAAATGTCTAATAATTATATCAGAGTAATATTTAAATGAACAGCCCTGTTTATTATTCCAATTAATTATCTCGTTATTTTCGATGATTTCTTCACTTTAATTCTTGTTGTTTCCTTTTATAATTATCATAGTCTATAATCACTCCATGTCCCGGCTCAATAATATTTAATATAATTATTTATGGATCATTTGAAAACATTTTCGATTCTCTGATTTTTGTCTGTCTTCATGGTTGGAAGGACTCGTCGCCTTTTTTTGCTCCTGAACTATTAAATCAGAGATTTCCGTCGTTGTTGTTTTTTTTTTTTCCCCAAACACAGAGCATCTTTGTAAATAAGACAGGATGTGAAATATGATGAGCAGAATCGATAAGGTCTCCTCTCACTCCCTCTCTGCCTCCCCCGTCTCTCTGCTCGCTTTGATTTTTTATTCCGGGAATAATTTCAGCAGCTCCACGAGACGACAACAGGTCTGAGGTGTGTGTCGGATTAAAATCAGATTTTTGGATTAAATATCTAAATGTTTCTCTTCCTCTCCTCCTCTCCCTCTTCTTTACTCTGCAGTTCTTAGGAGCTTTGTGGAGGCCGCTTTCAGCCATCAGAACTCCGGGACATAGGAGGAACTCTCCCGGTGAGTGCACATCTGTATGAGGTTTGAAATCTGTGAAGTCAATCATCAAAACGTCAAAGGAGACAGAATGCGGCTGTTTTCGTTAATTCAGTTTCTGATCATTAATCTGAGGTCAGACCGAGTTTTTCTTTTTTTTAAATCCGTGATTTATTTTATTTTTTACTTCATGGTAAATAAATGTTTTCCGCGTTGCAGGCTCACCTCAGCCTCGTGCTCTAGTTTATTCAAACACAGGCTTTTTATTTTTATTAATATTATTATTTCTGAAATCCGAACGTTTCATTCTAATTTTTAGTTTAGTTTTGAATATTTCCGGTTGTGCAGACTGAGGTTAAAATCAGATAATTTAATATGACAAGAGGAAGATGTCTCTGATGTTGTTGGGATGAAAAAATGATTTACTGAATTTAGATTATTTGTTTTTTTAAAGACTTAATGGATGATTGAAAGGTGCAGCTGAATGCAACATGATGATGGGACGTGCACGAGCATGTGTGTGTGATTCAATGTAATGTATGACACGTGCTTATGTAATATAATCCATAATATAATCCAGAGGTGTGAAGGGCATCCTCAGCAGGAAACACACAGCAGGGTCAGTTCATCCGTTCAGTTATTAAAGCAGCGACCTGCAGCAAGGAAGCTAATGCTAACTACACTTAAAAATAGCAGTGCAGCTAGCAGCAGCAGGACAGAACTCAGCTGTCCAGCTCAGTTCACATAAAAAAATACAGCTCAACAAAGTGATTTTTAAATATTTTTTGAGGAAGTTTGGTGCGTAAAAGAAGATTTGAAATCCCCAAGAATCGGAGGACATTCCTCTGTGTCCTCCTCATGGCCTACATGTCTCAAGTCCTAAAGGGGGGGGGAGAAAAAAACACCGGAGGGAGGATTTCCATGGCTGTGCAGGGCGAATAGTTTGAGTTGTGAAACCCGATATCCGTGACTCAACCCGAAACACGGAGCCGTCCATGCGCGTCTTCCATCCCGGAAAATAGAGAAGAAGTGCCATCGTGCACAAGCAGCGGCCTGCATGCGTTCACACGTCACTGCGTGCATGAAATCCGCTGTGCTCCCACTCTGCTGCTCTGTGGAAAGCCGAGAGAAAGGAGCGAAAAGAGCTGATGAGCTGTTTGGTTAATGAGTGAAGAGAATCCTTCAGTCCGACAAAAGGCTGTTTGGAGGAAAAGTTGCAGACGGACACATTTCAGGCTCCCACCTTCCACCTACACGGAGCTCATCCTCTCTTTTCTGCAGCCCACAGCGAATGCTATCTGCTTTAAAGTTGGGCTGTTTACGCGCACACACACACACACACACACACACACACACACACACACACACACACAGTCACACACGCTGCTGGGTGCGAGAAAACTCATAAATCTTACGTAGCCATAAACGACAGGGGTAGCGTCCTGAATAATAAAAATAGAGGGAGCTCCAGAGACACACACACACACACACACACACACACACACAGAATGAGAGAGAGAGAGAGAGAGTGTGTGGATGTGTGAAAACACTGTAGCTTTATATTTTCACTTCCATTTTCTCACCTCTCTGTTTCTCTTTCCTTTTGGCACTTTGAGTCTCACATGTTGCTGCTCTTCACTCTGTTTCTCCTTCTTTTTTTAAAAAAACGAGCAGCAGAATTTAAAGGCCTTAAAGTTTCTGTGCTGTTAGAGCTGCTTATGAAATCTGTCTCCTCCCTTCCATTATGGCCTCCTTTTCTTTTTTCATTATTTACCCTTTTCTGTGCATAAGCAGCAGCAGCAGGGGGAGAGGAGGTGATGAAATGTTAACAATACAGACTGAGTGTCTAGTTTCTGCACGGAGACATGGAGGAGCTGCAGGAGGGGCTCTGCACAAACAGGGAGTTTAAGAAAATACTTTTTTTCTCCAAAGGAAAGGGAGGAACTGGCTTCTCATGATCATAAAAATGTCACCAAATATGACCAAAATAATCCACAGAGCACTCTGTGAGGTTAATATAGTGAAGGGAAGCATCGACCTACATAATCTCAAATCTGTTTTATCTTTAAATTATTAATTTATCTACATTTAAAGTGAGGGGTTTGGTTAAAAACATGGAACATATCAAAAATAATCTACCTCTTTTAATTATATGACTGAGTCCTTAACATTACATTGAATCCAAGTCCAGTGAAGGCATCATGAAATGAGAGCTGAAAGAGGCTTTGGCACATTATGTGTTCTCAGATGGCGTCACATTGTTTACAAAGTTTATTTATTAGGCTTGAACTTTATTAGTAGAGCATAGAGGGCCCTTTTCTGGATTGTAAAGTAGTCATACAGTCCACCCTAAACTTTAAGAATAAACATATAGCCTCGAACATGTAAAATAATAAAAGGTCTCTGGCCTGCTAGCACACAGGCTACTGATTAGCACCGACAGGGAGGGATACAGCTGGAGCTCAGAGGAGAGGCCCTGCTGCTTTATAATCAGAGGTGCTGCGTAAAAGTTATCCAAGATCAGATAAATAGACCAATCACAGGCCAGGCTTTGTAACCACAAGTCCTTATAGAATCTAAACCTTATTTGGTATACAAGTTGCCTTCATGTCTGGTTGTATGGCTAACATCAGTGCCTGCGTGTTGCACTTGCAGTGAGAGTAATTAGCATAATTTGTGAGTGACGCTGAGCTGTTGTTTGATGGAGAATCGGCGCGTCCGCGAGTCAAGCCCCGTTATTTCCCCCGTTACACCCCCGGGCAGACCGTCAACAACTCCAGGAGCAGATCTATAAGGACACTACCCCTCTATTGGTGCGGTGTTTAGGCTGTTCGTGCTGCTGCGAACCGAGCCGAGCCGAGCCAAGGCCGTGCGGGATTAAAAACCTCCAGGTTCAGCCTGCAGAGAGCGGAGCGAGGCGGGAGAGCAGACCCGGAGACAGAGAGGGAGACGCGGAGGGAGAGAGGCTGGAGACCCGGGGAGGAGAAGCAGGGACATAAAGGATCAGGAGTGATGATGGGGTGACATGTCGCCGCGGAGCAGTTTGTCTGACTGACTGGTTTTCTGACTGCTTGTGAGTCACTGAGGGGCTGAAACAGGCAGAAATCTGAGGCCATTGTTATCAGCAGCAGCAGCGGTGCAGGCAGCGGCGGCGGAGCTGGGGCGGAGGTGGAGGGGGGTGGGGGGGTGGTGGGGGGCGCGAGCAGGCAGCAGGCAGGCTCCCGGTAAGCTCGTTCAGCTCGCGCGCTAGCTAGCCTGCCTGTAGCCCTACACTACCGAGCCTGTCCGTTAATTGTTCCCGTTAACCGAGCCCCGACGCCTCAAGCCCGCACAGCTCTCTCAGTCCTCGGCCTTTCATGCCACACCGTGTCCGGTGCGCAGCCCCCGCGGAGCCCGGTCTGCTGCTGCTGGAGGCTCGTGGAGGTGTTGTTGTGAGCCGTGCTAGTCCTCAGTCAGACCCGGAGGAGGAGGAGAGGAGCACCGGAGCGGATTCGTTTTTTTATTAAATCATTTCTGATTGTTATTGATCACCTGGTGGACGCGCGTGAGGACTACAATCTGTGATGCGGTGCTACGGGGTCCGAGCCGGACTGGACCGGGACCACCGGGGCTAAAGGAAGGTAAGAAGGGGGAGTGTGTGCGCGGGCAGGAGAACAGGCCAGCCGGTAACGCACGAGCTCCACAACAAACCAGAAATCCAGTGTGCGCGTGTGTTTGAGGCTCTGTGATTTATGGCCCGCATGACTTCAGACCCGGTTCAAGAAGAGTTCACACGGCTTTCAGCTGCCCCCTTACTCCTTCTCTGTTCTCCTTCTCTCTCCTTTCTCCTCATCCTGCTCCTCTTATCTTCTCTGCTTTTTATTTCCAGAGACATGGCCGACCTGCTCCTCCTCATCCTCCTGCTTCATCTCGTTTCTCCCTCCGCGGGGCCCAATCACATCACATCTCACAATTATTTTAATCCTAACTTTCATGTTTGGACTTTATTATTTTATTCACATATGAATGGAGGAACAAAAGCTCTGGCCAGGCCAATCTTTATTCCCCCCCTCTCCTCCTCCTGTGTGTGTCTGTTAATGGGATAAAAAAAAAAAAACTAGGATTGTCCAACTTAATGCCTCCTCTCTCCCTCTGCTTGTGTTGGTCTTCATGGCAGGCGCCATTTGTAATTTTATATCCGGGATAAAGCACAGACACTGGACACCAAGGCCGACCCCTCTCTCTCTCTCTCTCTCTCTCTCTCTCTCTTGTTGTTGTTTGGGTCTCTCTCTCTCTCTCTCTCTCTGTCACTATAAGTGGATTATTCAGGGAGGCGTCTAGTAAAGTTGGTGATTGTATTAAGCTGCAGACCTACACGCAGGGCACAGACATTACGTGTCCCGTTTAATGGTGAAACAGAGATATGATTTAATAACATATTCCTCCTACACACACGGCTCTCTCTCTCTCTCTCTCTCTCTCTCTCCTCGGGACTATTCCTCAGAGTAAATAATTAGGATTCCAGCTTGTCTCCTGGAAAGATAAATGGCTGACATGTGTGACGTGCTGAGAGCTGGAGAAGGGCTGGACTGTCTGTCCAAAAACACGCAGGAAAAAAAAGAGCATATGGAAATATTAAGAGGAAAAATATCCTTTATCGTTAATCAGAAACACTCAAAACGAACCTTTTCTATTTTTAGTCATTTTTGTTTCCATGTTTTTATGTTGAAATGTTTCATGAATTATTAGGAAATGTAATTTACATAATTCACAAATCGTGCAGCTTTTAATAAATAGAAGGTCTTGTTTTTTTCGGCGTAGCTTTAAAATCCTAATTAAAATGGATTGTTATATTATCTTTATTATCTGTGCACGCGCTTTAAATAATTACGTTTTCTACATTTTTGCACTTTGGAGAAACATTTGAATACAACACAAAATATAATAAATAGCTGCACGTGTGCTGATGTAAATAAATGACAGCTAACAGTAGTTAGCTGCAGGGCTAACAAACACACACACACACACACACTCAGTTTGTGGAGTCAGAGGCAGCAGATCTTCTTCTTCTTCTCAAACATTTTATCTCTGAGCTCAAATTAATGCCAGGTGCTCCCTCGCGCCTGATAGCTGGCCTCTCGCGACCACAGGCCTACCCCGGCGGGATGCGCGCG